GAGAGTGGGACTGAACCCTCCTGTGCTCTGAGTACCTAGCGTGGGCCTCGTACATCACAGTAAATGAATAAATGTTGCTAAAACATTTTTGAAATATGATTAGGATCCTAATTTTTAAAAAAACATTGTTAATTGTGAAATATAGTATATTCACAAAAATGCATAAAATATATATACAGTCTAATGAGTTTTTGTAAAAGAAATACCCATGTAACCACTCAGTCAAGAGAGAGTGAAGCCAGCCCCCTGTGTGCCCCTCCCAAACCCAACCTTCTCCCTTTGAAGTAACCACACTCCTGACTCCCAGGATAATAATTTTCATGCTGTTTTAATGTGGTATTACCATGTACTATGCATCCCTAAGCAATCTAGTTTTGCATGTTTTTGATTTTATATGAATAGACTCATGTCTTAGCGTGGGTTGCCATAATAAAATGCTATAGACTCGGTGGCTTCAGCAACAGAAATTTATTTCTCACAGTTCTGGAGGCTGGAAGTCCAAGATGAGGATGCCAGCCTGGTTGGGTTCTGGTGAGGGCTCTCTTCCTTGCTTATTAAAGTCGGCTGCCTTCTAGCTATGCCCTCACATGCGGGGAGAAAAAGAGAGAGCAAGCTCCCTGATGTCCTTTCTTATGAGGTCACTGATCCCATAATGGGGCCTCCTAACAACCTCTTCTAACACTAACTACTTCCTAAAACCCCCATCTCCAAATACCATCACATTGGGGGCTAGGGCTTCAATATGTGGATTTTGGGGAGACACAAACATTCAGTCTATAATACATCATGTTATATGTATCTTGCTTTTTTCTGAGTAATATTGTTACTCAGATTTATTCATGTGTCTGCCGGTACCTATAGTTTTCTCACTTTCATTGCTGAGTAATAGGCCACCGTGTTTCTCTGGTTTCTTCTTGTGAAATTTCCACCACTGTGAACGAAGCTCCTGCAGCCCATCTCGTGCACACACCCTGGGGCACACGTGCCTGCACTCTCCACCTCAGAGTGCAGTTGCTAAATTACAGGGTGAGCAGGTTCAGGACGACAGTGTAAAAATAACCTGCATTTACAAGGTAGACCCTGTGGTTGAGAATGTTTGTCTTGCATCTCACAGAACTGTCTGAAGTGCTCTGGACCATGGTGATGAACATTGGCCTCCGCCTGCGAGGCTGGGGAGGACTCGTCGGGGTTTTTATCATTTTTGCCATATTTGCTGTTCTGACGGTAGCCATCCTTCTGATCATGGAGGGCCTTTCCGCTTTCCTGCACGCCCTGCGACTGCACTGGTAAGGACAGCTGGCCCACAGAAGCTCGGGATGGTGTAGGGAAAGAGGATGGGCTGTAGGGCCAGCTGACTGGATCCAAATCCTGACCTGTTGCAGGACATGAGCAACCTACGTACCTTTTTGGAATCTGAGTTTGGTCATCCGTTGGAGTAACATTAAATGATGTAATAGATGTATACATATATACATAATAGCTGCCCTGGAATAAATGTTGCTTCTCATTTATTCCTTCTCTTTTAAATGTCAAATGTTCATTTGTTATTATAATCAGCTTTAAAATAAGTGCCACCTCCAAGTACTGGTGAGATCTGAAATAGGTTCCTACAGGGCGTGATGAGCAAATCTGGGATGTGTGGCTTATGTTGCTGAGTGCAGGAGTTAGAACAATAGACAAGCTACTAACCCTCAAAAGCGGAAACAGGGAGGAAGGTGCTCACAGGAAGCCCTTGACATTTACAGACGTGTCCAGGGACTACCGGCCGTCACTAGGTTGATGACTGTGAAAACATTTGTTGAGGCTTCTGGTCCTCTCCCAAGTCACATTTCAGCCAAGCATTTTGGGTGTGCTGTGCCTGCCCTCGAGCCATCCGGGCTGTCCTCAGCTTTCACTGATGTTTTCCACCTGCCTCCAAGTCGCTATTCATAGGGAAATGTTTTCACACTCGATGTGTGGAGTGGAGGGAGTCACCGCACCCCCCTGCCTTGACGGTGACATCATTCCCCTCCACGTCATTGAGGACATGAACTCTGTAGTATAACGACATGTAAGTGATCATACACAGCATCGGTTAAGTAAGTCGTAATAATGAGTCAAGGCTCTGTTTGTTCTGCAGTAGCGTGAGCCCCACCATCTGGAATCGGGCTGGAGGTGGAAACCACGCATAACCTCCTGCAGGGCCCATGTCGGATAGTGCTGCACAGGGAGGGGGTCTCTGCTTATGATGGGGGCTGGGAAAGGTCATTGTGTGGTGAAGAGGCGTCATGCTGTAGTGTGTGAGGCCACTGGCAGGGGCCTGGTGGAGGTGAGACCTGGTGGGCAGGGCAGGGGACGGTGGTAAGGGGGAGGTGAGAGGAGGGTTGAAAACATCCTCAGAGGATTCCCCCAGCAGCCAGCAGACCTGGGTGCCTTCCTTGGCTGCCCATGTGTTGATTTTACAAATGTTCTGCTTCTTTTCTTCACCTGCCAGCCTCTCACTAATGTGTTTAACCTCATTTTTCTTACCAACCCCCAACAACAGGGTGGAGTTTCAGAACAAGTTCTACGTTGGGGCTGGTTACAAGTTTTCTCCGTTCTCCTTTAAACACATCCTGGATGGGACAGCCGAGGAGTAGGTGCCGTCTGTCCTCCTGCCTGGGCGTCTGCACCAGTAGAAGCTCAGCCTCGTCTTTGCTGTCAGCCCGTGCAGGGCGGTCAGTGGCAGGTGGCTAACCTGAAGCATGAAGCTCTGTATTATTTGGTTATAAGCCTCGGGATTTGATAAGACTTAACCACGTTGTAGAGGAATTACGTGGGCAAGACATTTTTCCTTCCTGTGGGGTCTTAATTTTCAAGTAACATGATTGGGAAGTGAGGGGCAGTACCAAACTGATGTTTTCTTGTAATATTTTCAACATTATATTCAAGGAAATAAATATCTGGGTCATGCACTTTCTCTTTAAGATGTCTTTATTCAAAATTATTTCATAACACTTAACATTGACAATTACCGGCCAAAGCTGAACAATAGAGTTACACAATCTAATCCCAGAGAAGGATCGTGTTTGTTTTATCCCCTCATTTCCCCCTTCCTTGAACACCTTTTTTCCTTGTCTAGGGCTTAGCTTACAAGCTTAGAAACTTTCTCATGAATTTCCACTCCAGATGAGGAAGAACAGATAACGTTCTCTGGAGGGAGAGCTGCCCCCGGCATGGCTCTCTACAATTGCTAAATCCTGTGAAATGAAGCGTGACAGCCTATTATAGGCGACTTTGTTCACTGTCAGCGCACATTACGCTGGAGTAACTGGAGAAAGAGATGCCTGGGCTTGGGCGAGTTCTGGAAAATGATGGTCCGGGAAGGGAACCCCTTACAGTCTCGGTCATTACTCTCTGGGTCTGTGGGTCCCAAGGTCATTTCTTAGGGTACATGGACCAGCAAACTCCTAAGATCCCCATAAGATTCATTTCATTAACTTTTTTGTCTGAATGGCCTTTGTGCAAGTGAATTATAATCTGTGGTAACCAAACTCGTAGAATTAAGTATAATTAACATTTTTGTCATGCTTTACAGTTTCTGAAGTATTTTCACACAGTATCCTACTTAGTTCTAAGTTTTCATCATTAGTAAATAAAGTTCCAAAGGAGCTGATCAAATTCAAAATTGCCTTTTGGATGGGACTCTGGTTTTTAGCCCCTGCCTGCCCTTGGTGTGGTAGGATTGACCGCTGCTCACGGAAGTGGTATTGCTCATACCTAAAAGGAACTTCTGTGTCACCTTCCTCGTCAATGTCATGACTTGTCCAACACAGTTTAAGGCACATATTAGATGCTCAATAAATATTTAATGAGGTTGAGCAAAGAATGATAGTTGGGGTCAGAAGATGTATGTGTTTGACTTCCAACTCTTTTCCTCTATCATGTGTGCTCTTGGGCAAGAAACGGAGTTGTTTCCCTCATTGCCAAATGGGGATAATCTCCACGTCTCTGGGATTGTAAAGCACTGAGCATGGAGGAGATGCTCAGTCAGTGAGGGCCGGAAGGAAAGAACAGACTAAAGCGGTAAGTCAATGGTGGCCATAAGTCTGTAAATCCCCATGCTGCCATGATCACTGGACAATTTCAAGGTTCTCAGCTCACTACTGCCCTTCTCAACAACCAGCTGCAAACGTGCTGTGCTCAGACGGCTCGCCAGCCTTTTGTTCTTTAATTTTAAATAGCAACGTAAAAATGTTTGCAATGGCAACACTTTCTCTGCCACTTGCCTAGACCTCCTCTTTCAGAAATCCCTCCAGCCTTCCTGAGAACAACACACTAATTTCCTCCAAGGGTTCACAGCCACTTTCTGTCTCCCAGAGAGATGTAACTGCCCCTTTAAAAAGGGATCAGGTGCAGGGCTACTGAGAAGGAGGTGTGCCCTAAGTCTCTCTCACTTGCCCAGGATGCAAGTTTGTTCCTGAAAGAGCCCTGTTTGGAGAACTGAACTGAAAGTGTAGGATAAGACCAGGCG